AAGACTGCAGAATAATCCCATGACCATGAAATATATGGCTATAAGAAGAGCTTATAAAATTTCCAATTAAACACCGTTTCTATGAATAGATGCTTGAAAGAATCACTTAGGGCTAATGTTACCTTAGGATGTGCAAGCAATACTTGAACAAGATCTTGCCATTGCGAAGATATACAAACGGTTAGTAAATGTAGACTGCATGCAACCAGTGCAGATTGCATCAGGGGTGCCATACCAAAATTATGATTTTTCTGCATCAAGAAAGCAAGTCTCAGTAGAGATAAAGGGAAAGGGTATTAAATCTTAAAAGTAAGGATTAGGGAGAACCTGTTCATAACCACCAAAAACAATTAGTATATAAAACACCAGGTCAAGCAGCTGCTCTGACACTTTTACATCATCCAGCAGAACCTGAAACCATGAATGATATTGTTGTCTCATTGTCATATCTTATTTTCAGAAGAGTTTTCAAACTGTTCGAAAGATAGAAATGAAGTAATCAGACTTCAAACAAAATTTCATTAATAAGACTGGAATGAGAGAATGAAAGTTTATGCAACTACCCAGAAAACTATTAATATCACATTTGTGTGCCTCCATTAAGAAAAAGGTTCCAAGTGCTTCAAACATTAAAGTTCATCAGTTCTGGAAACATTTATGGAGTTACATTATAATTTATAACTACAGCATACCCTATTACTCGAAATGACAAGTACATTTTTGTTTTAATTAAAGTCAGAGAAGCTACTGGCAATCCTTTATATGAGGACATTAAATTACCCTGCCCTTACACTAACTTACAAAGATAATCATCAGCCACGACATTGCATATAGAAAAGAGTGAAGATGTCAACTTTGCTTATAGACAAGAGTGAAGATGTCTTATTGAATATTCACCTAATGCTACAGATTATACGAAGTTTCACATCACTACATCAGAATTGAATAAGCATGCTACACAATTCTTTTATGCGTCCAACGTAAAAAAGGAAATGCAAACAATAAAACAGAAAGAGAATAAATCTTGGATCAAAAGTACTACAATCAACCTGTTCAAGTTTGGCATGTCGAGGTGCTAAATCACACAAGGAGTGCAAAAGCCTGATACCACATGATAGGTATTTGAACAGAGCTTCATCTCTGTCAGATGACATAAGCACCGCAATAAGGTGCAGCGGAAGAAAGCCCGCAAGCTTTTCCACATCAATCTGAAAAATAACAACATTTTAGAAATGACACATCTATAGAAAGGTCAGGATACAAAGGCATGGTATGAAAATACTAACAGTGGTGATAATTTCTGACCTTTTTTGAAATTGATCCTTTTTCAGTAACATACTGAATAGTAAAACTTTCAGAGTCCCTCGGTAATTTATTAAGTTCCTGAGAGTTAATCCCATGTAACTCCTTCACTGCTGAAACTAAGTCAATAACCTGTCCATGCAAAGAAAATAATACTTATTCATGCAAACAGACTGAATTTGGAAAGAACAGACTAATTGGTTGCCTAATTAACAAATTCGTGTCCTCTCCTTTTCCAGGCTATCCTTGCTTCTTAACTCTAGTGGTCTATTAGAAATCTCAAGATTCTTCCATCTTGCTTAGGGTTTGATAAAAAAACTAAAAAAATCCATTAGAACTATTCGATAAATAATAGGCCACTTGGATTACAAATCCAGGGCATATAAGACAATGTGAATATCTGGATCCCATATGAACAGATAACTACAAAAGAAAATAAATAAATAGATAAATTATTCACACAGTCAACTATTAGTAGTTGAGAACCTTACTTGTGTAGCACTACATGACGCTTCTTCCTTAGCATGTCTCATTCTACAAAACCTATGCACAATAAGGAAAAAAAAGGAAATATAAGAACATTCATGCTCACTTGAGTGAAATTTTACCGATGCAACCTCCAAGAATCCGTCAGATTAAGCTTGTGAATGTGTTTGAATGCACATAAACATACCACACAATATATTTGGCGTAACCAAGATTTGAAACTCAGGTGGGCAGGATTTTAAGCTAACTTTTTGCTTAACTCAACGGAGAGCATTGCTAAAATTTTGGAACAATATAAGTTGTTATCATACATTTCAGAGGTTGCAAACCTAATTCAAGACTTTAAGGAATACTCAACAGTACGAGTAAATTTTATTAATAAACAAAAAAAGATACACCTAGTCAAGGGGGACATAGATGCCTTATGGCTGTTACCCCTCAAAATGCATATCTATACATAAAAAACAACCGAAACAATAAAAAGATAACTAACTCACGAACAAAACAGCAAAATATCAATATAACAAACAAAAGCGCAATGTTATACAATGTAAAACTATTTAAATGCTGCCCTCCTCATCTTCAAAGCATCAAAAGCATCAATCACCAAATCCGTATCAATTCCATCAGCAAATTCTTTTTCAATATAGAGAATCACACCACCACACTAACCTAGTGATCAAATGCAGAGTCATTAGGATTCACGAACTTAGCATGTTAACTTTGAAATACGACTAAATTATTAACTAACATAAGACCAAATCAAAATCCATAATTTCTAATTCCAAGTTAAATAATATGCACTCCTACAATAGTTCCCAAGTCCTAACCCTAAAATTTAATTTCACACTAAAACACCCCAATTTCAAATTTGATTTTTCGAAATTAATTATGATATCAAAATCTTCAAATTAAGGAATATTAAAACCTAATTCTTACATCAGAATGAATAAAAACAAAGAATTAAGAAAAAATAGATACCTGGGTGCATCTGCAGCGTGTTGTCGACCTGGGGAGTGGCTCCGTGCTGCTGCTTCCGACTGGCTGGAAGAGGTCGGCGGTGGCTGTCTGGCTGTTGAGCGAGTGCGCCGGTGGCTGACAGGCTGAGAAGCGGTGAAACGTAGTAGAAGATGAACTGGAAAGTTGTAGTCGCTGAATTCTGAGCGAAGAAACTAGAAAGAGACTAGGCGGGCGCAGTGGTCTCTATCACTAATTTTTTTTATTTTTTATTTTTTATTTTATTGGGTTAATATTACCTATATTTAATATTTTACTTAGCCCAAACAAAATGGGCTGGGCCTGATGGGGGACAGTAACCTTGGATTCTCTTATCTCGACAGACGAGATTAGAGTAGCCACATGACAAAGATTTCCTGAAAAAGTAGTCATCTACAACCACTACAGAGCACTTGACCATTATTTTTTGAAATTGATCATTTTCGAATTCCTTTCTCGGAATCCATAAAATCAGAATATTTGGACCATTGAAATTTGATTCAAAGATTAAAGTTAGTAAAACTTTTAAAGTGAGCTTTTGTTTGTAGTCGTTGGATCAAATTTCAATAGGCCGAATCCTCTTATTTGGTGGATTAGGAGGAAGAGATCCTGAGAGAATGTCTTTCCATTATTTTTATACGACACTTTTATTAAAATAAGGATATTTACCACAAACAGCCTTTAAAATTGACGGACAACATTAAGATGGACTATGAAATTAAAAATTAAACAATGTAGTTCTAGAAATAAGTGTCTCAAGTTAATGTGGTCTTTCTGTCATAATTCTATCAAAAATTATGTTATGTGATGATATGACACATAAATAAGTTGCACAAATCTAACTAAATTAGAAATAAGTTTAATAATTCAATAACTAATTAAAAATGTTGTAAACCTAAAAACTCAGTCACACAATCACCTTCGATCCCAATGCACACTCCTTTACCTCCATCTATGGTAGCCTCTGTCATCTCTTCTCTGAAAAACAAATTCTGAAGACACCCATCTTTACACTTTGATATTGGACGAGGATCAAGACCACCTTTGGTGGTAACTTGAACTGGCGGCGACTGATGTGACATCACTGTTAACATTTGGGCAATTGACAACCTCACGACCTTAATCTCAAAGAGCTTGTTGTGCGCTCCCTCAATAATCTTGTTGATGAAGAAAACGGCAAGCTCTGCCTTGATATATTTCATTGGGCAAAAGGTATTTTGACAAATTTTATAGTTAATTACTAAATTGGTATACCCACATTAGCACAAAATAGAACTTTTGATAGAAATGTGACGGAGGGACCACATTAATCTGTGATACCTATTTTCAGGGACTACATTGATCGATTTTCAATTCCAATGATATCTTGATAGTGTGAGTCAATTTCAAGGACCATTGTGATAAAAATTCCTAAATCTTGAGGGACCTATTTATGTGCCATATCAGCATATAACAAATTTTTTTTACAGAATTGTAACGAAATGGCTACATTGATTTGTGACACCTATTTTCAGAAACTATATTGATCAACTTTCAATTTCATGGACCATCTTGAAAGTGTGGATGAATTTCAAAGACGATTTATGATTAAAAAAAAAAAACCCTTAATAATATTTGCGGCTGCTAGGTTTTAAAACTATTGCAATTACAATTTTAATGATCATTTTATGGAATAATTGAGTTGTGACTTATGCGTAGAGCGGAAGTAGTCTGCTTTGTAGTTGGTGACTAAAATTCTAAAATCTTGATTCTTTCTGACCACCCAAAAAGTAAGACTATTTATTATGTTAGTTGACCAAACCTTATATGTAATTTGACTTGCTTAATCCATTACCATCATTTCCAACCAAAATAAAAACAAAGTGTTCAGAATAATTGGGTTATGGTCATGATTGAGTTTACGAGAAAGAGTGAATTGGCCAATACAATTACACCCACGTTTACTCTGTTGCAAGAACTTTAAAATACATGATTAAATACATTGTTTTTCAGGATGTGTCAATCGTTTGCACACGGGTATCTCCAAAGTTCAAATGTTGCCAAACAGAAATACATCAATGAATACGGACTTGAAGTATCAGATACGTATTCGGGGTGTATCGAGTGAGTATTGGGACATCCAGTATGGATATATCTGACGACACTCACGTTCACACGAACTCATATTCAACAGAAGAATGGCGATACAATTACTTGAAACGTTAAAAGGCCATGAGAAAACAAGAGAAACAAAACTTTTATTCAAATTAGCAAACCTACCTAACATGTATCATCAGTACATGGGAAAGTAAGGGAGCCTGTGGCGGCCATTCTACGTAACTCCGGCCGCTCATTCAGAACCCTGTGTCATAAACGGAAAATGCATAAAATAACTACGAAGAATCAAAGGACTAGATTTACGAAGAGGAAAACTATACAGCCGTTGGATTATGAGTCAGGTTGCTCAGTTTTCACTGGGGCACCCGGTGAGGATGCACTACTCCCATTTTGAAGGTACAGGCTGCTGGCCACCATAGAATCACTGACCAAGCCTACATCAACGTTGTCGAAGTTGAGAGTGCCTCTGAGCTTTCGGGTACTGAAAGGGAAATTAATGCATCAGAGGAACCATTATTTAGTGACAATTTACCTTGGTTAGTCTCATCCATAAACTAAAAGCATACCTGTTCAAGCGGTTGTTGATGGCAGTGAGATCTTTCGAAGGGCTCTGATAAGCATGAGTACTCTCCCCAACACAAGCATAATAGCTTTTTGAGCTATGTGATATCAAAGCATCCATCTGTGAACAGTTCGGAATCAGATTCACAGACGTTCAATCAGATTCAGACTTGAAACCTATAATTGATTTCTTTGCAGAAATTATTAAACATAATGCAAATACATTGAGAGAATCTCAAC